GAAATTTAATTTTATTTAAAAAAGAAAAGAAAATATTTAAAAGCTTTGTTTTTTCTCCTTCAGAAAGGGGTGGGGGAGAGAAATATAACCTAACTGCACTTAAATTCAATGACCCTTTTTCATTTTATTTAGTTTTAACTTATTTAAGGAGGGAACTGATTGCTGAAGTAGAAATAATGAGAACCTTGGGAGGAAGTAGCCATCCCATCTTTGAGCTTTTGATAGAGGAGAAGAAAGCTAGGAATAATCTAACAGGCACCCTGAATTTTGAGAGAACAAATTTGTAAAGTTTTAGAGCAAAAAAAGGTAAGATCTCATGGACTAAAATGCTACAAGAGGGATGGGAAGACCTTGTGCATGAATGTCAGAAGGTACGTAAAGAATTCTGAAAGAAGGAAAAAAAGCCTAAAGAAACCAATGTGGATATGCTAGAAACTCACCAACATAAAATTTTAAGAGCTTTGTAAGCAAACAAAGGCAAGTCACAGAGGACGAATACAAGTGTGACACTGTCCTGGGGAGTGCTAAAAATTAGGATTAGCTGAAGTTGGTAGGGAAGGTGAAGGATAACCAAAAAGGTGTTGTTGTTGTTATAGTTGTCGTCATCATCATTTTTAACAGGGTGGGAAAGATCAAAGAAAAAAGATGGAACTAGGATAACTAATGAAGAAGAAAAAGGCAGAGCTGCTCAACTTTTCCTTAGTTTGTGTTTTCTTTGCCAAAGAGAATGATTTTTGGACCAGAAAGGAGAAAGCAAAAATGAGTTTGTAGCATATCAAGATATATTAGGAGATAGTAAAAGAACACCTCTGTTTTCTTAATGAGTTCAAGTCACTTGGCCAAGATGAAGTACATTCTTGGGATCTAAATGAAAGGGTAGCGCCTACCATCAAAAAAGTTGGAAGCTCCCAGAGAATGAGAGGATGGGTCTTGTTTTGGTTTGATTTGTTGGGGTTTTTTTTAAGTTTTATTGTTGCCTTTTTTTAGCCCAGTTGTTTACCCTTTATTATATCCTATTTAAAAAACAAAACAAAACAAAAACATTTAAAGTAAAACCAACTGATACAATTATTTTTTCTGACAGCATAGACCATATTCGACATCTGTGATCCTCCACTTTCCTACTAAGAGGAGAGATACAATGACCATGATTGGTCATTATAGTAAATCAGTGCTCAACTTCATTTTATTGATATCACTTATGTTATTGTATATTGCATATTCTACTGGTTCTGCTACTGGCTTTGCTTCTGTCCATACTTGTCTTCTCTTACTTCTCTGAATTTCTCCTACTTTTTTTTTTGGTCCATAGCTGTGATTTCATTGGTATGTGGAAATCCCAGTGTGGAAGCTCCCTCCATTAATATATATTGATAGCTCTTCTATAACTTAAAGTCTTAGAGAGCTGCCTAAACTCAGTGATATGAAGTGACTTGCTTGTGGTCCTACAGTCAATATATGTCAAAAGTAGAACTCAAACCTAGACATTCTTAATTCTTTATCTGCTTTATCTACTGCATCATATTACTGCATCACATACCATTTGCATCACAATAATAAACCACTAGGTCTCATCCTCCCCCCTCCCAAACAAAGACAGGAGTGGGGGAGAGAAGTGGGGAAAAAAGAGCTTATAAACTATAAGCCAGTGAGCTTGAATTTAATTCCTAGAAAATTAAAGAACTGTATTAAATACACGGTATAATAATGAGAATTTTAAAAGATTCTGATAGGCTAGAGGGAGATTGATAAAATACGAAGAACTTTGGCTCTTTAGTCAGAAGAACTGGGTTCAGATCCTACCTTTAATCCTACCCATGTGTTGTTGTTCAGTCACGTTCTACTTTTAATGACCCCATTTGGGGTTTTCTTGGCAGAGATACTGGAGGGGTTTGCCATTTCATTCTCGTGTTGCAGAGGAGGAACTGAGGCAAGTAGGGTGAAGTGACTTGCCCGGAGTGAGCCAGCTAGTATGTGGGTCAGATGTAAACTCATGAAAATGAGTCTTTCTGATTGCAAACCCAGTGCTCTGTCCACCGTGCCACCTAGCTGCCTATTACCGGTATAACCTTGGGCAAGGCATGTAACCTCCCCGTGCCTCAGCTTCCTCATCTTTTAAATGAAGGAGTTGGATTAGGTAGGCTCTCAGGTTCCTTATGGCTCCTTGTGGCTCACAGATTTCATAGAATCTATGATTCTGTGAAAATAAGATGAAACTTAACTTTTGCAAGCTCAATTTCAATAAAAAAGTGATGTATCAACAAAGATACATCACATTTAAAGAATTTAATTAAGTCCATTTATCATTTATTAAGCATCTAACATGTTAGGCATTGGGGAGACAACAAAAATAAAACACCTAACTTTAAGGAATTTGTGTTCCATGGAGAGGGGGGAATGCCATGTACAATGAAATATAACATATATGCAGAGTGATTTCTCAGGAGAAGGCATTAGCAGCTAGGGGGATCAGGCTGGCCTCCCTGTACAAGGTGGCACTTGAGCTAAGTTTTCAAAGGATTCTGTGAGGTGAGGGTGAAGAGGGATTGCATTTCAAACATATAGCCAGTGCAAAGAAACAGACACAGGAGGTACAGTTTTGTGTATGGGGGATAGGAAATAGGCTAGTTTGACTGGAACACAGGAAAGGTAGTGTGCGCTAAGTTTGGAAAGGTAGTCTAGAACCAAATTAAAAAGAGCTTTAAAAACCAAAGGAGTATTGTGTCCTGAAGGCAAGAAGGAGCTGCTGCAGTTTCCTGAGCAGAGTGTAGACCGTAGAGGATTGGAGCAGGGAGAGACTAGAGGCAAGGAGACCAATTATGAGGCTCCTACAGTAGTCCAAAGGAAAGGGGATGGGGGCCTGGACTAGGTGTCGGCTGGGTGAGTGGAGAGAAGGGATGTATGTCATACACATATTAGAATTGGCAAGACTTTGCAACTGATTGATGAGGGAGAGTGAAGGGTTGGAGATGACTCCAAACTGTGAGCTTGAGTGACTGGATGGTTAACGGCCTCTCCCTCCCCCAGCAGAAGTTAGGTGAAAAGATAGTGATGAGTTTAAGATGACTATGAGACATCTAATCTGTGATGTGGGCCTGGGGCTATTGATATAAATGTGGGAGCTCTCTACATAAAGATGATAGTTGAACTCTTGGGAGCTTATGAGATCACCAAGAGAGTATATAGAGGGTGAAGAGAAGGGAGCTCATAAGTAGGACAAGGATGAGACAGAAATGACTGGAGCGGGCACACAGGCAAGAGAGCAGTATCAGAAATCCAAGGAAGAAAAAGTGGTCAGTGGCATCCAAAAAAAGTGTCAATAACGATAAGGACTGGAAAAAGCCAAACTGGATTTAGCAATTAAGAGAGCAGTTTCAGTCGAGTATCTAGGTCCTAAGTCAAACTGCAAGACAGGGAGAAGCAAGTGTGAGGTGGGAAATACAGGCAACTAGTATAAACAACTTTATCAAGAAATTTGACTGTGGAAGGGAGAAGGGATGTTGGATGGTAAATTGAGAGAATAATAAAACCTTCTGAGTGAAGGTTTCTTTTAAGGATGAGGAGACAGGCATGTTTGTAAGCAGCAGGAAAGGTGCCAGTGAATAAGAAGAGATTTATCCTCCGTGGGCATTTGTAATTTTTTTTTTTCTGCCTCAATTTCATGGGAAAGAGAGGAGGATTCCTGATTCTAGCCCCAAAGCACCTGTGTTTCCAGGTATTTTCACGTCTAAACTTAAATGTTTTAACACAAATAGGTAGTGTGTGTCTACTCAGTATCGAGTATATAATGAAGAGTTTATTGAATTTGTTTTTTACAAAACTACATAAAAATGTTAGCCGTGAAGGCTATCTTTTGCTTTCTTTCATTGCATGACATAAATGATAGCACTATTCATAGAACCGATATTTGTTCCTTTAGATATATTTATTTCCAGTGTACAACATTCCATCTTCCATATCCATTTGTGCCCCAAACCTGGAATGCTTTCCCTCCTCACCTCTGCTTTTCTGGAATCCTTAGCTCTCTTTAGAGCTCAGCTCAAGTGCCATCCATGATGCTTTTCCTGTTTTCCCCTTCCCTTACCCTACCCCCAATCCTTTGTATTTATTTATTTGTATACATATTATTTCCCTTCATAGATTGTATGTTTCTTGAGGGCAGGGACAATTTCCTTTCTGTCTTGGTATATCATTAATGACTAGCATAGTACCTGGAACATTGCAGATGCTTTATAAAATACTTATTGAATTGTTGGAGAACCTTTTAGAAATAGTTCATAATGCATCGTAGTTCCATCCTGCTAGTTTTTATATGTTGCTCTATGTAGAGTTTTAGTATATTTGCATCAGTCCAGAGTAGGGAAGAACAATTAGCAAATTTGTTAATTATCCTTGGTTCCAAGCTAATTATTATAAAGTAATAATTCTTGTTATGCTTTGAACATAAGTGCATGTGACAGTTTGGTACTTGGCTTCCTGGTATGAAATTTTAATATACTAAGGGAAATCCAAACATAATTTCATCTATTAATGGCCTGCAATTAAGGAATACTTTCTTAACTTAATAGTTAACTTTTTGAAATCCGATTGTCAATGGAAGAGACAGCACTGGTTTTAGAGTCAAAGGATTCAGGTTCTAATCCCCCCTCTAACGCTCCATGTGCATGAACTTGGGCAAGACAGCCTCCCTGGGTCTCAGTTTCCTCATCTGTGAAATGAGTTAGTTGGACTGGATGGCCTTGGAAGTCCCTTTCATCTCTAGCTATCACTTTGTGGACTTTCCCTGTTTGTGTATTTATCTGTAGTGCTGTTACATATACACATACATGGAACTATGGATGGTGACGTTAGGGATCCATTTTAAATGCAAAAGTCTATTCTATAGGTGTTGCTGTAGGGGCTCTCCTACCTCTCATCCCTATAGTACTTTAGTTAAATTATTCTTTAGGTTGCTAGAGATTGCATAATTCTAATATTAAGTATTTCAATCCTCTTTGCAGCTATGTCAACTTATCTTTTAATAATTAAAACTGAACTTCCTGGTGCAATTTCGCAATTTCTAACTGGCGACTGTAGTGGGTAAGGAAAAATATTTCATTTCCACATGTACTCTATTTTGATGTTATAATGAAGTCATAATTTCATTGGTATGGATACTGCTTCTACTGATGCATAACTTCTCCATTCCTTCACAGTCTGTGCTATTCTTATCTATATTTTTCCATAAATACTCCAGGGCATTGTATCTAGTAAGCTTCAGGTCTTGTGTAAAATGCTTAATTTTTGCTATGTAAATATATATCATGCATTAATGAAACTTCAATTCCTAATTAAAAATGCTTACCAGTCAACTCATAAGAACCCCAAAATGTCATTCATATGAAATCTTTGCATTGTAGAACAAAAACTTTGAGAAAGAATAGGTCTTGAAGAAAAAGCATATTATCTTTAAATTGTTGTCAAGTTGTCACTTCAATAATTATAATGCAAAACCTAGCAGTCTTTCAAACTTGCATATTTGGTGGTCCTGTTTCAGTATACGAACTTTCCCCTAGAATGCAGGCCAACTTTTTCAAACTTAGTTTATATTTGTACTTTTTTTTTTATAAAGTTATGCTTAGGCATCTTTAGATATGTAGCCATGTATAACATTGTGTACATTTAAAATCAGAATCAAAACCATTGCAGGAAAATGTGCTTGACATAACTAAACTAAAACATCTCAACTTGAACATTGCAGTAACCTGTTTTCATTATTATGTGTTACCAACATTGACAGCATTTTAGTTTTCATCATAACTGTGTTATGGCTGTCATTTTAAGCTGTTTTCAGAAGTTTCAAATTTACTTCAAAATTTTTCTTTAGACTAAAGTTTGTATCTTAGTATACATTGGCTAATGTGTGTCACTTTAAAAAAACTCTTCAATGTAATATTCATTGCACTATGGAAAGTAAAGATAGTTGCTTTGAAATCTGGTACTGTTTATGTCATCTATTGCTCTCTTACAATTTTAAGTGTCAGAAATAAACCAGACAAACTTTATAAAATAATGTACATAGAATTTTGCTTGTCCATTTTGAAGTTCTATAACCAAACTGAATTTTTAATGTTATTTTAAAGCATACATATTTTAAAAATAGTCTCAACTTGCAACTCTTTAATGTAAGGCACATTATTTTATATTTAAAAGTTTTAAAGCCTATTAATTTAATAAATGTTCAGTTGTAAAGATTCTTTAAAATATAAAAATAAACTACCCAAGCTTCAAAATACAAGAAACAAAACAGTAAAGAAATAAATTTAATTGAATGACTTTAACTATATATCTGTACTACTTTTTTTTTCCTCCTAGATATAGTTATATGGCAGTATTTTTCAGCTAGGTCATTATAATGTCTGTTTGCTTTCTTTTACAGGTTTAGCTTGCCTTAAACTACAGCTTATTGTGTTACATATTGTTTTCTAAGTTATTTGTGGAAATTAATGTACTTGTGTTTTCACAAAGTATTTTGGTTTTAATATTTTAACTAATCCTTACAAAGGCAGTGGAAATAAACTATATACATTTGAAATAATATTCAAATTTGAAAGTTAATCTTCAACAGTCAAATAGCATGCCATTTGATCCTAACTTGTTATTATCTACATTTTAATGGAGTGATTTCAGTGTTTTTAAAAGTATAGTGTTAAAATATTGTAACTTGGGAGCTCTCTGTTAACATTTAATGATCCTGTCAGGAGGATATGATTGACACAATTAAGTTGTCTTGCATTTGAGTTACATAATTGATATGGGATGCAAGTAAGATGCTAATTCAGAACATGTGATACTCTTGTCCCATTCCATTTGGGAATGATATTAAAGCAACTCATAAATAAATCTGGTTTTCATTTAAAAGAAAAAAGAACATCTGTATGGCAGAGTATTTGCAATACAGCAAAGGGATTTATTCTCTATATTTCATACTTGGAACATTTTTGTCATATAGGATTAAGCCCACAGATCAAACAAGTTTTCTAGAAAGTATAAAACTTTTTCCTAATGCTTTTGCCCCCAAAGCATTCAAATCATAGTATGTTTGGGAAACAGAAGCTTTGTTTAACAACTTCTTTATACTTAGAAAAAATAATTTTAAGTGAATAAATGCTTCTAAAAAATCATTTTTTTTTTGTAGGCAATTGAGGTTAAGTGACTTGCCCATAGTCACACAGCTAGAAAGTGTCAAGTGTTTGGTCTGAGGCCGGATATAAACTCAGGTCCTCCTAACTTCAGGGCCAGTGCTCTATCCACTGTGCCACCTAGCTACCCCGAAGCACTGTCTCTGGGTTCAGAGCACCTCGTTCAAATCTCACCCCGATGGTTACTTAGCCTATGTGACCTAGAACAAGTCACCAAGTCATACAAGTTAAGATCCAGGATTTGGACCTCAGTTTCTTTATCTGTAAAATGAGTAGGTTGGATTAGATGGTGTCTAAGTCCCTTTTTAGTTCTAGAGCTGTAATACAATACACAGTATGACATAGTGGAAAAAGGACCAACCTGAGTTAGGAAGACGTGGGTTCAAACCTCATTTCATGCACAGGTCATTTAAACTCTCAGTTCCCCCAGGCCATAAAAAGTTCCTCTAAGACCATAAAAGGCAGAGCAGTTGTCAGTCTGCATTGTTAGAAGGAACTTTCTTATTGGGATTTCCCTATACAATGAAATCTCAAATACAAAACAAAAAAAATTCTTTATAAATTTTTTTTTTTTATGGTAAACACATAAGACATTTTTCTATTTCTTTGAAAATAACCATTGCCTAACACAATTCACTTGACTGTGACATGGGTATGAAAACCAAACTGACTAATATCACTGGGCAATGTATTATTTATTGCCTCTCTTCCTGGGAATAATTGTAAGGAAAAAGTCCAAAATATTTATGAACTTCTTTGTGATGATTTCTTGATAAGGATAATAAATGATTGCTAAACAAAGATAGGCCATAGAATTAATATCTGAGTTCATTTTCTCTTAGAGAGTCATGATATTTTGTACAAATCTATCCTCATAACACCCCTTTCAATTTTGACACACTGAATCAAAACCAAATAAAACAGTGAATTAAAAGACCATAAAGTCTTAAATGAATGGTTTTAGAAAAGTTGTCTTTATCATCATCACTTGCTAAACTGAGGTAAGTAATAGGTTCATGTTAAAAGTGAAAAGGGTAGGCCCTCTCCTAATTTGTGGTTTAGACTTTAGGCAGTTACTGTGTGACCTTATATGGGCATAAAAGAAAGGGGGAAGGGAACAAGCATTTATTAATTGACTGATAGGTGTCAGGCACTGTGCTGAGTGCTTTACAAATACTATCTCATCTAAGAAGAAAAGTGGCTCAGAAATGACTGCTTAGTATCTTAAAAGAAAAAACCCTTCCAACCTGGACTCATATAGCCTCCTTCATCCTACACCTTTCTGATGAGGAGGACATGGAAGTTGGGCCTTTTCCTCTTTGTACTGGGTCCTATATTGGTAATTAGGTCTTCTGTTGAGTCCCAGAAGGAGGGAGATATTTTGGTGCTCTGTTTGGGCCTTTATTATGAGAATGATTGAAAGATTATTATGTAAGAAAGATTGAAAATTGTTATCATCACCTTTCGTGTTGAATGTTTCACTTTCTAAAGATATGTCACTGTGTGCATTCCTTCTCACAAGAATGTTACATATAAGTTTAGGCTCTCTCTATAACCAAGAAATGAGCTAGTGTACAGTTTGAGGTCCACTAGAACTAAAAATATTTGGATTTCCAGTAATTCAGACATATAGTAGGTGCTTAATAAATACCTCTTGATTGATTGCTTCTTTAGAGTTGTAAATCTAGGTGCAGAGGAGAGTAAGTGAGACAACTACAGCAGTTCTTTCTTTGATACTCTTATTGAAAGAAGGGCCTATTTGTTAACATCCAGATTTAATCACCAGATAGCATCTTGATAAAGAATGGATCGAAAGCAATCCTGTGTACCATTCCCAACCATAGACACCCTGTTATGGAGTTTGTGCCTTTTGATTCTCCAGGCTACTGGAGGCATGATGGTTGTGACTTTAACATGTTAATAGCTGAATTTGACTAAGGAGTGGTTTCTAAGAATTTCTTAGAATTTCTAAAGAGAGGTAGTTTTTCTTGATCCTGGTTTAGAAGATATTTTGCATTCTAAGATAACTATAAATTTCATAAAGATAGGGACCACATCTTATTCTTTTCTTTTTGCATACCTAAGAGAGTCTTCTGTAAGAGATGATGTGTGTTCAGGTTGAAGTGAATAGTATTTGAAAACATAATCTCTTTTGGGGATGGCTAGTGCTTTAATTTTGTTTTGTTACTAATACTGAAATGGATCTGTGATCACTCTGATTTGGAAATTCTTTCCAGTGATACTGAAACTCATCCATGCTTATTCATCTTGTACAAATCTTATCAATATCTTCCAACATCATCCAACCTGTTGGAAGCCTTCCGTCTTTCTCTTAACTTTGTTAGGGGCCGGTGGTACACTCTAGCTGTTCACCTGAGTCATCCTTCGCTCTTACCATATAAGCAGCCCTTCTTTTCATCTATCTTACCATTCCTTCGTGTCATTTTTTATTCTCATTTCCTTTGAAATTTCCTCATTAGTCATATATTGTAGCCTGCTTTCATCTACCACATGCTTTTCCATTTCATTCTGTGACATACCGAATTTTAATTCTTCAGAAACTGTTGTATTCAGAGTTCTACTTCCATAAAGCAAAACTAGTTGAATATTAGTGTCAAAAAGATAGACCTTTGTTTTCATGGAAGGTTTGAAGGTCGTTAAAGGAGTTTTGCGATTTCCCAAAGACAATGCAGCCTCCTCTGTAACTCCTGCTTAGTTTTGGGCCCAGCTTGTTATCCATTTCTGCTGCCCGTCCTTCGTTCATCTTCTCCTGACTGAGCTCTGCAGGCGGTAGTCTGAGCAGTAGAGCTACTTGATCTTTATTGTGTGGGTGACCAGGCCAAACTCTGTTGAGGAATTACAGCTTTACTGGAGTAAGTTCGGCAGCATCTGCAAAGACCCCACCATCCATAGGAATCCCTTTATAACTTAGACTTTGTGCTGGATCTCCATCATCACAGTGGTGAAGACCTTTGGCAAACATATCTCTCTGTTGTATGCCTCACCCGATATTTATGATCAGAATAACTGAACACGGTTATTTCTTTTTTTATATCCTTTCAAGGCATATTGGTGATATTGGTGAATGAATGAAAGTCACCTTGTTGAAAAAGAACCTGTTAGGTGGCTTTTTTCTCTAAGTCAGTTTTTAGAAAATAATCAACAAGTAACAAATGCCATGGGATCTTATAATCTATATGTTTAAATCAGTTGTGAAATAATAAAGATATAGTCCATTGCAGAATATCACTTGCAAAAGCCTGGTTGTTTCCTACTAATGTCCTCATCGAAGATTTTTCCCTCTGTTTCTATATAGATAACTCTTATAAAGCTATTGTATTGGGACAGAAGGCATATAGGCTGGTGTTCTAGATACTCTCTCAGTCATCTTTTTTTCTATGTTAATAAAGTGAAATTTTTTCCCACACTTTTAATGGTTTTCTCTCCTTCATATATCTTTTATAATTATCCCTCAACACCTCAGAATCGTGTCGCCTTCAGCATGGCTGTCTTCTATATTATTGGTCTAATCTGGCTATTTTCTTCTTCTTTGTTCTCTTTAGTGACATTTCTGTATACTCTATGTTCTCATCTCATGATTGCAGTATTAAGTCGCAAGCATGGTTGTCATGAGGCTCAAGTGAAGTAATAGATGCAAAGCACTTTACAAACCTTATAACTCTATATAAATGCCAGTTGTTATTATTATTAGCCTACAGTCACCAAGCCTCCATTCTGATGATGACCTCATTCCCTGAGCTTTTTACTATAATGCTGAAGAGCTCAGGCAGTGTTGATAGAGCAATACAAAGGTGTGCTGGTAAATGTTTAACAACCAGGGCTATCTAGAAAAAGAAAAATATGTCTGCTCATACCTTTAAGTTTAATCTGCATTATTAACACATCCCTAAGTCTAGACCATCAACAGAATCATAAATGAAACCCTGATTTGTAGCAGTTACTGATTTCTGAGATGCAAGTGCCCACATTGACCTTTTAACAGTTGGCTCTTGGAGCTGACTCCAGCACACCCCAGGGTTTAGGTATAATGGTCCCACTGTCCTTGTTGGAGAAAAGAGATTGTTAAAAATATTTTTTCGTTTTCTGTGTTTTTCATCTTTCCATTTTTCATTCTTAAATGCTCTTGCAGTGACTTTGTTTAGTTGGATATCTTGCTAAGCTTTTTACCATCCAAATTCAAAATTATACATCATTCTTTTTTCAAAGATTTTTAAAAATAGTTTATGTTATAACCTGGCGTTGCTTTTGACAGTACTCTCTGTGTGTTTAACAAGTAAATAAGATGTCAACTGACCAAAAGTACTTTCTAAACTTTTTTAATCTCTGTCGTAGTAATTGATTTATATTGGTTACACATCCACATAAAATTATTATCATAGATGTCATTTCTGTTGCCAGCTTCTCATTTTTAATTGTAAATCACTTAAACAGATCAGAATTTATTTTTTCAATTAACATATGTTTTCAATATTCTCTCTTTCTCTCTCTCTCTTTTTTTTTTTTTTACTAATTATGATTTTAAGCACTGGCAAGCTGATGGCCTGAATGTACTCAAACAGTCGATTCAGGAATGATTGTCACATCAGTAACAAGTTTGTTCCTGTAAATCTGTCCATTTTGACTTTTGCAGTGCCATTTGATGCTTTCCATGTCCAATGCGTACCAATTTTTTGGAGGTGGGGGGAAAGTTTTTGTGGTATCTAGGTGTGAGGTTTCAGTGTAATCTACCACTTTTTGGGGGGATTGCTTCAAGAACCTGAACCATATTCTCCTATACATTTCTCTTCATCTCCACCATTTCTCACCTTTGCATGAAGTGAACTACAAGTACTAGAATGAATGCTGATTTAATTTGGAAGGTCTTTGTAGAATTTATCTGTTTCTTCATAAGCAACCAATTATGGTACATAAGCTGCAAATTATTTTCAGGCTGGTCTTTGAAAATATTTATCATTAAATGAAATACCTGATGACCTGCTATCTAATGAAATAATTTCTTGTTGCCTCTGGATTATGATAGATCCTGCTCCACAAACTCCTTTCTTTGTACCTTCAAAGAGTACTTGTTACCGATCCATTAAGCTGCAAGTTGCATCTAGTTTTGTTCATAGCAAGAATGTCAAGAGTGATATGATTGGGACCCCTTAGCAGTATATCCAGTCATTGGTCACTGGATAAGGGTCTTGCATTTATAATATCAGTAGTCAAATTAAAGTTTATAGATAATCTAAAAACTATGATTCTTAGCACTTCCGACCTCTTTTCTCAGCATTCTCATCACCATCATTGCAAAAGCATATAGGGGATATACAAGACTGCAAGCCATCTTGTAATTTTCTCGGTTTTATGGGTTGCCATGGCCAAAAAAAGTTATCACCAAATTGCAATGAGCCTTTCTGCACTTAGCTCTGTTGGTCCTTGGAAAATAGGCTCAGTCTGTTGCTAGAACCATGTTCTATATCTTTCCAGCAAGATAGAACATGCTGGAGCTTTTGAAAACCCGGGGTCACATTCTAATGCTTTTCTAAAATATAAATCATGAATAAGAAGGCAGAGCCATTTTTCAAAAGTGTGTTTTTTCCATTGGCTGGTTATATCAGAATAACATCTTTTTTCCATTCTGTACCCCTTGTCTGAAATTAAAGATATATTTTTTTTTCCAATAGGTCTTGGTATCTTGATGGAAGAATATTGCTGGTAATTATATGTGTCTGCATTGTTTTCCCCCTTGCACTTCTTCCTAAGTTAGGTAAGTCATTTTACAATGAGAGATAATATTATTTGACCAATTTGACAATAAATTACCAATGGGCTTAATTTTCACTGGACTAAATATTTTGGCGGGGAGAGGGGGGGACTTTTTAACTTGAATTTATTGTAAATGATTCTGCCTACAGCCCTGCCTAGTTACCCTGTTACTTGGGTTGCAGTAGTATTTTGTCTGCCATACTAAAATAAAATCTTTACAGCGGAACATTAAAGAGCAGCCTTTCCTTATAGTGTGCCATTAGTGGTAAGCCAGTTCCAATTCTGCCCTACAAAACTACACAAATGATCTGTGACAGGCAGTTGGAATGTTGTTATTCTGAGCTCTAAGCTCCAGATACCAAGCAACTGTAATAGAAAACATACCCGTGACATATAGCTTTAGCTGTACATTAGGATCACTTTCCTTATAAATTGCTTTTTATTTTACTGTTATTTTACAGGCTTTCTTGGCTACACAAGTAGTTTATCATTTTTCTTTAAGGCGTTCTTTGCTTTTGTGGTAAGTTTAAAACACCAGTGGACTGCTTATGTCCCCATCTCTAAAATTGGCCTCATTGTTCTTGCTTTTTATTCAGTTCTGTCTTATGCTGAGTGTGCACTCCAGGATGCTTCCTTATTAATCCACAAATATCTTTCTTTTTTCTATATCCACTTTTATTTTTCCTTAAGTAGAACAGTAAATCTAGTTCTTTTGACTCTACTAGACAAAAGACGGCAAAGCTAGTATCGGGTCACAAGGAACACGTCCAACTACCTAAATTTCTTATTTTCAAATACTCTCAGAAGCCTTAGATAAAATAAGTATATGTGTGTTTCCTCTCTACTCCAAAAGAAGTAAGATGTGTGGGAGGATTACAACACTGCAGTCAACAGGACATGAACTGTAAAATTCATTTGGCACAGGTCATCATAATGCTGTGTGATCAGTGAAACCAGACCTCAGAAACTCTGACCACATGGTTTGACCAGGGAACTAGAACTTCTCAATTTTTCTGCACAAGTTTGGCATATAGATAGGTTCTTGGGGGAGTTATTCTCAGAGCTGGTAAATGAAACAGTAGTTTTTGTAGTGTTGCCTCCACTACAAAAAAAAAGGTTTTTTTAACTTTTAAAATGCAGTTTTTACTTAGAGTTTTTAACTAGCTAATTTTTAGAGCAGCTAAAAAATGAATTTATTCCAACTAAATTTCAGTCACTTATGTGAGGAAAAACCTGGATGGTTCAGCATGGCTAAAAACGTATAGACAAAGGAAAACGAAAACTTCTCTTGGGCAACAGAAATAAATTTTAATATCTTAGACATTATTACATGCAATTTAGAAAATCAGCCTTTTTTTCTTTGCATATATGTGTTTCATGGCTAGTATCCAAGTGTTAAGCTTAGTAGGATTAAGTATTTAGTAGTTTGCAAGAAAATATATATCTAAATATAGTTTTCATAAGCTTGGCAAAAAATTTTTTTCTTTTTATAGCCACTTACCAAAATTCTGTTTTATAAATAAATAAAATGTGGGCATCTTACTTCATAAAAAGTTAAAAAAAAAAAAAAGGAAAATAGCATTAGAGTAAGACAGCAAAGCCTGTCCTGAAGAGTTGTCAGAATAACCCAGTATGTCCAGAATTTATGCCAGTATGATCATGTCGTTATTTTGGTGGCTGAAATACAGGATAAAACAGTTTTGCTCAGAAATAGAAATAGATCCCAGGAGCCAAAGCATTATGTGATTATGATTTTTTTCAATTTGAAGATTCCTGTAAAACTGTTTTACATTTAATCATTTACATGATGCTTTTGCATATTTGTTCCATTTTTCCCCTGTGCCTCTTACTTATCTATGTGACCTGAGTTGATTCACTTAATGTCTCTGGGCCTCAGTTTTTCATCTGAAACATGAGGGGGTTGGACTGGATGACTTAAGGCTCTTCCAGCTCTAAATCTGTTATCCTATACCTCCAGATATATTTAAATTAATAAATGCCATTCCTTACAGTGAAAAGATATGTTGGTAATGCCTTTATCCTAATGATTATTATGTCCAGAGTACTTACTTTTGTTTATGTAGGTAGAACCCAATGCATACAGATGTATGTTTGTGGATATTAAAGAATTAATTAGTATTAATGAGAAATCTTTAAAGTTATGCTAGTATGATTTAGTTTTCATAGTTAATAGTTTGAAACAGGTGAAATGTATTGGTAAGATATGCCCACTGTAGTTTTTACAGCATTAATTTTTGTCATGGCAGATATGCTGTAATTTGGTCCAGATTTCTAACTGGAACAGTCATATGGAAGCAATACCCTTATTCTACATTTATAGTAATCTTAGAAACCATCTGTTCAGATTTTTGCTTGTGAGCAAAATTTTAATTTGGTTTGCAATAGGACAATGAAAAATACACTTAAAAAAGATATATGTCCTTTATTTGACAAATCCATTTTGATATATTTAAACTTTTGGCTTTAAAATAAATGGTGGATAGGAAAATAAAGGGTACTATTCTAGGGTTTTTTTAAGGAGATTAATTTCTCTATATTTTTATGTCAAAACTATATTTAAAATTATTTTTACATCAACTATATAATAAAATTAACTTTTCTTAGCCAAAACTGCATTGTAATGCAAATAAAAGCCACTATCTTTACCGTGATTATGTCTCCCTTCTCTTTGAGCTTTTCTTGTTGATTTTTGTCCTTTTTTGCGTGTGTCAACATTTATAAGGTTAAGAAGATTAATTTTACCATATAATTGCCTCAAAATTCCAGTTTGTGCCAGTCATATAACTGAGAATTTGGCCCTAGATCTCTTAGATTAGCATTCTTTTCAAATTTATAAGTTAGTGCATAACTCGTTATTATAAGCAACATTTAAGCAAGTTAAAAGTAGGAAAAGAAATAGAAATATAAAATACAAAAGTTTTATAATCAGTCAGTAAGTATTCATCTTCCTTCTATGTGCTTAACATTGGGTTTAGGAGCCACAGGAATACAGAAGTATAGAATTGGTCCCTCTCTTGGAGCTTCAACTTGCAAGACTTACGCATATGAAATAATCATAGACTAACAAAATCATATAATTAAGTGGTAATGTATGTAGTATAGACTGTAAGAGTTTTGGTAGTTCAGAGGAGAGAAAGATCATTGTGTTGCTTTGTAGAGTCAGTGAGAATTGGGCTGAAGTTGGAAGTTTGTATAGGATTTGCATAGATGAAGGAGAGAAGAAGGGTATTTTAGGCAAGATAATAAATAGCTTGAGTTATTCCCAGTTCTTTATTTTCTGTCTCTCTGATTTTTTTCTTTTTATAACTTGACCAGGAGTACTTTTCCCCATTCTATTTGATTTATTTTTGTTTTCATTCTCCATAAAACTGCAAATTTCTCTTGCCTTGATTTTTCTATTCCTAACTTATTTCTGCTGTGAGTCAGTGGACACCAAAATTTTTTGTTGTTTTGTTTTTTCTTTTTTGGTTGGGCAATGGGGGTTAAGTGACTTGCCCAGGGTCACACAGCTAGTAAGTGTTATGTGTCTGAGGCCGGATTTGAACTCAGGTCCTCCTGAATCCAGGGCCTGTGCTATATCCACTGCACCACCTACCTGCCCCATTGTTGTTGGGTTTTTTTTTTAACACCAGAATTTTTTGATAATTCACCCTTTTCATTAAAAGTTTTTGAGTACGCACTTCCAATATGTGTATATTTACTTGTTAATACATTATATTCCTGTACTACTGTACTAGTAATTATATAAATTATAAAGCTTACTCAAAATAGACATTTTAAAAGAATGAGGTAAAAAATGAAACAATGTTTGATACTGGAGTCTATTGGGAGCTACTGGAATTTGAGTAAGGACATGACCATCAGATCTGAGCTTTAGGAAAATCACCTTGGTCGTTGTTTGGAAGGTGAATTCAAGAAGAGAGAGATGAGATAGGGAAACCAATTAGGAGGCTTTTGTAGTAGTTCAAGTGAGAGGTCATGAAGACCTGAACTATGGTGACAACTCTCAGTAGAGAAAAAGACAGATGGGAGAGATATAAAGATAGACATGAAAGATGATTGGATTTGTGGGATGAAGGAGAATTAGAAAGCTGAAGATGACACTGAGGTTGGAAACCTGGATGACTAGAAGAGTGATGGTGTACTTGACAATATAGGAAAGTTTGGGAGAAGGGTGGGTTTGGGGGTAAAGGTAACACCCATCTGTGCCTGTGTATCTTGAGCAACTCACTCTGTGACACCCAAAATAAAAACGTAGGAAGCCTGAGTTTTACTCACTGTTCATTGCCTCAAATGCAGAGCCTTTACCAAGAGCATCTGCCAAAGCCAGAGGTAATCTGGTAAGCAGGAGGTGAATATGCTGGGGAGTGGGGTGGGGGGATGGTGAATTTTCCCAAGAGCATCTGGTTAGCTCAGTCAACAGTGGCGAAGTTATAAATGCCATAAAGGGACCTTTGCCTTGTGCAGAAGAAGGAGGGTAGCTTGAGAAGGATGGAAGGATAAAGTTAGGTGTGACATCCTTATTTTCTGAAGTCTTGCAGTTCTCTTGCCCACCATCCACAACCAAACACCCTGACCTGTTTTAAAAGTTAGAATTAAGGCTGTGTAATTGCTGCTTTTTATTTTTTTTTCCTCTTCGTAAGTCAAATATTGTAATATCAAAGCAACTTTTTCATCTCATTCACATTTCTCACTTTCTACTTTGTTCTGTTAGATCTAATGGTGCCTCTTCATTGGTTCATCTGATTCCTAAAGAAGTTAAGGAGGTTTTGCTTGATACTTGTTTTAGCATTGCATTAATCTTTGGTTGGATAGATAAATATCCGATAGAATACTATGTGTTTATTTATTTATTGGCTTCCTGCAAAGCACAGGTCTCTTTTTTATATTCCCTTAGCCTTTTGTACACTGGATATCATCCTGAAGCAATTATTTACAGAGTATAGTTATTTCCCCAAATCCAGACACTGCAGTAGTTGTGTTGACACAAGCAATAACTATAGGGTAAAAAAAGAGTGGCTACGATAAAAAAGTATAGTTGTGAAGAATTCTTATTAGACCCTTCTGGGAAAGAAGTTCCCTCTGAGTTTCTTTTCATATTTCCTTTAAAAATATTTTTCTAACTAGGTTTACATAGATCATTCAGAATGTTTCAGAGACGTATTTCCTTTGGTTTTCGATTCTCCTATCTTAGGTTTTAATGTTTTTTAAGACGAAGGAAATGACCTATGTTCATATCCATATAAACCTGGAGAGCAGAAGCAAAGAGTGTTCACTCTTCCCTTATCTTATGATTGTGTGTTCTTGTCCCAAGCAACTGGATCCACATTCATTTACTAGACATTTCTGAAGTACCCACTATCTGGCCAAGAAGGGATTGTGAGCAGAACATCCAGGAAGATGCTTCATCACTCTCATTAAAGACCCTCTCATCCAAATTCTTTTGTTATTTCAACCTTTAAAATTCAGTCTATGTCTCTTCCAAAGCTACCTTTAATAATTCTTAATCATTTGTCTTAGAGCGAGCATTGTAATCTGGGGTCCATGAACCTGAATAGGAAAACAATTAGATTTTTATCTTCACCAACCTCTATCTGAAATTTAGCATTTCCTTCAGTTATTTAAAATCATTATTCTGAGAAAGAGTCAAGAGATTTTTACCAGACTGCCAAAGAGGTCTGTCTGTAACGCAAAAAAGTTTAAGAAGCCAGCTTAGAGACAAAAGACAGTTACAAAGTCCATGCCTCCAAGGTTATGATGTCCCTCTTCAGTTATACTGCTCTCCTAGCCTCGTTAAACATTTCAGAACTCTGTAAGCTAGAGCTGAAGGTTGAATTTTCTCAGGTGGAATCCAAGAATTTAGTCTCTGGGAATAGTAACAAGAATTACCAAGCCTAGCTGACCATACAGGTAGTTGCCTATGCAGTCGTTACTTGTGTAAGGCCTTATCAAATGTGGAGTGCCTCAGATGGGGAAATGGCCTTAGCCTGGGTTCATCAGCTATGGTTAGTTGGGTAGAGAGAACATTCATTAGCTGGAATGTCCTTAACTGTACTATTTAATTTAGAGGGAAATAAGACTAAACATTATCTCTTCCTTAAGACAAGAGATTGGCTTGCCTCTGCTTTGGTCTCTTTTAAGTAATCTGTTTCATCATAAACTTTTGTAAGTACAATCTAGGCATTTACTTTTCTTTCACCTTACAGGTTATAGTGAAAAAATGGTCCATCCCTTGTCCACTGACACTCAATCATGGAGAGGAATTCTTCCAGGTAATGACATAGTTGTATTTTGAAGACTTGTAATAATTCTCATTTTAATCTGACAAGAAAAGTCATGCTAATAATGCTTTTTTTTTTAATTAGTGAAAAAGCGATTACTACCACCCATTTTTCTCATTGTTTTAAAAAACCTTGATTCAAAAACTGAATGGTAATGATGGTAGGTAGTATCTTGGATGTAAAGAGGGTCAAGTGAACTAAATATATCTAAAACACTGTATAGATATAAGTGGTGGTTATTATGAATATGCCAGTTTACTAACTGGCTAACTTTTAGTTTCTCATTTTTCTTCTCCTGTACTCTTTCACAGATTTCAGATATCACAGAGGAGTGTAAACCAAAGCTTTTTCACTTCTCCAAAGAGGTAAATTGTTAACAGACTTTTCTGATTTAATTTTCACATTTTAGCCATAAAAGGTTTGTATAGTATTTGGTTTTTTAAGGTATTTATACTTATCAATTATTTTTCACAGGAAATGCTAAATATAGATTGGCCCACCAAAATTATATTTTTAAGCATAGGATGGCACATCATGAAACAGGCACCTTTTTGATGGTGTGGTTTTAAATGAGCCCTTGCATAGAACATATTATCAAATTGTTTGGTCTGTCCAGCGAATCTTTCTGTGGATGCAGGCATTTTGTAGCCCCATGGACTTGTAAAGCTAACCAGCCTATTACATCAAAAATTCCTACTTTAAGTAAAACTTTGTCTGTAATAAAACTCAGCCTAACCAGTGGACCATTGACTTAACATTATACAATGGTAACTTCTGGTACACATTCAAAAATGAAAAGCTTGCTGCTTTCTGGAGTTAGGATTGCAGGATAAATCTGGAATCCCCAGGTCAATTCTTACTCTTTGGGCTTGAGCATGCTTCATATGTGAGCCTTAAAAGACTGAGAATGCAAAAAGGGTGGACCTGAGTACCAGCAGAGGGTGTATGACCTGACCTTTGGCTGCACTGTCCTCTGTCCTCTGAAGAGCCCAGTTTTCTTTTTTTGACAAAGACAAGGGCCCAGCTTCCAGCTGTAAGGGCTCCTTTACATCTCACCATTACTTATGCTGTTCAGGGCAGACCTAAGTGAATGACTTCCTTCTATATCACTGGAAGACCTATGACCTTCAGCATCTGAAGTCCAGCCTTTGGTTTTGAGGTAGAGATGGGACTTTGCAGGTAGAAGAACCACGCCATCTAAATCTGGCCTCTTAGAGATGGAATACATTTATGAATCCACAAGTTCTTCTGCATGGCCATTCATTCCACTAGTCCAGATTGCAGCCTTTATGTAGTAAATAGAAATATAATATGTTGTTATGATTAAAGAATGGTATTAAAGAACAAGGAGTTACATTTTCTGATTCTTTAGTAATTTGTGTTTTAACAGTACAGGAAACTAGACGTCATCGTGCCCAAATGTACCTTCCTTTCACCCTACTTTAAAAAAACTTTTTAAAAAGTAATTTCTTAAGCAGTTCTTACATCCAACGATCTCTCCTCTTCTCATATACATTATGTACAATTTTGGTTTTTAGAAAAGTGCTATTTAGAATGATTCCTCTCCCAGGCAGACAGAGCACAGTCCCTTGGAGAACAGTATGAGTAATAGTTAGTATTGCTTGAGGTTGAATTGAGTTATTGAAGGAGGCAGTGTAGTGCTGTGTGCTAGATTTGCAGTCAGAGGAAGTCCCTGGATTTAAATTCCACTTTTGCCCTTTAGTACCTGAGCGACCACGGACAAATCACCTAATTTCTCTGGGCCTCACTGTCTTCGTGTAAAATAAAAGGTTTGGAAAAGATGGCCTCCAAGGGTCCTTTTTAACTCTAATTCTATGAGTCTGTGAATTCCAGAAAAGCTAACTGGGAGCGAGGCACATTGGAAACATAGCTGTCAGTTATTTGAAGGGAAAAGGGTAACTAGTGATATTGGTGATCTATCCAGAATCAAGTATATATGGCATGGGGATGATTTTGTACATTTCCCTTTAACAAATAGCCAGTTATATTAAGATACATCTTCTGGCTCTTCTAGAGACTGGGCTCCTCATGTGTGACCCCACATCTTGGCTCATTGTTTCCGTTACTACTTGTACCTTCTTTGACACCCCTTGACACTTTGGTCCAGGAGGGGAAACTGACTATTTCTTATTCCCTATCACCATTTAGAGACTCTCCCTTCACCATGCCATGCAGCAACTTCTAAAGGTTTGCTCTGTCTACATTTGTTACCCGAATCAGATCTGAATAGCTGTTACCTGCCAGCCCCCAGGTCGTTGTCCTCCCCTTTTCAAGGAGTTGTGTAGGTCCCCCCAAGTCCCAAACCCTGCCTTTATACTAGGGAGCTTCAGCATACATGTTGATGTCCCCCCAAACACCCAGTTCCCCAGTCTCCTCGGCCCCATGAACTATTCCTATTCTCCACTTCACCTGTATTCAGGAATGGCCATACTCTTGATCTCACTGTCATCCACATGTGTTAAATTTCCATAATTAGGACTCTGAAACTCTGATCCAGTCTCTCCATCTTTCCCTAATTCTATTTTCTGTCCTCATTGTGACTTCCATTCTCCCCGCCCTTCAGTACTTTCGCAAACTGTCACCCCTGTTCTAGCTTCACTTCTTGCCCTTTCCCAAGATTGACCCTTAGTTTACCAGTTCAAATCTATATTATTCTCTGTTCTTATGTACTCTTCTCCTTTGTGCTGTCGCTGCTTATCATTTGCTAAGTCCTTGCCAGCCACCTTGCTGTCCCGGCCTAAGACCATGCCCTTGTAATTTCCTGGATGCTTGCCTTGGAGACCCAAATATCTTGATTGCCGAGTGCCTCAGGAGAGATCCACTTTATCAGGCCTTGCTTCATTTTCTCACTCCTCATTCTTTGTGACCTCACTGCAGCCATTAACACTGTTAATCACCCTCTTCTCCTTGAAACCTTCTTCTTTCTAGGTTTTAGAACAGCACTCTCTCCTGGTGCTCCTCCTACCTCTCATACCTAATCCCTTAGTCTCCTTTGCTGAGATCTTCATCCAAGTCACACCCTCTAATCATAGGTGTCCCACAGGACACTGTCCTGACCCTCTTCTCCCTTGACACCACTTGGTGATCTCATCAATTCCTCTAGATTTAATTATCATCTCTATCTTGATGATTCTCAAATCTACCTATCCTGCCCTAATCTCCCTGCTCACTTCCATTTTTAAATCTCCAGCTGCCTTTCAGACATCTTGAACTAGACATCTTAAACTCAAAGGGTCCAAAACTAAACTCATTAGCTTTACCCTTGAATGTTCTCTCCCTCCAAACTTTTCTGTTACTGTCAAGAGCACAGTCATCCTCCCAGTCCCTCAGGCTCGCAACCTTAGGTGTCATCCTTCACTGCTCACTTTCTCTCACCCACATATCCAGTCTGTTGCTAAGGCCTGTCGATTTTTAACTTGGCAACATCTCTTGAATATACCCCCTTCTCTTTTCTGGTACTACCACTACCCTGGTGCAGGTCCCTATTGCCTTACGCTTGGACTATTGCAATAGCCTGCTAGTGGTCTGCCTGCCTCAAGTCTCTCCCTATTCCATTCTACCCTCCATTCAGCTATCAAAGTGATTTTCCTAAAATTCAGGTCAGACCATGTTATACCTCCCCCCCAATAATTTCCAGTGGCTGCCTAGCACCTCCAATATAAAATATAAAAGCCTCTGTTTGACTTCAAAGTCATTCATAACCAAACTCTCCCACTCCCATTCATAACCAAACCTGCAATCTTCTAGTTTTCTTATTGACTTTCCTCCCATTTTCTTATGAGCCACCCAGACCAGAGCCTATGCCCTGCAGGCCTTAAACCTTTCATTTTCAGAGCTTCCAACCTGGGGCCTCTCTGTCCTTATTGGTAAATGCCTCCTTTATAGCCATACCAGACCTCTAGCCTTAGAATTAGAGTTAGGGAATTAGAGTTTCTCAACGGGGCCCTTATTGCATTCCCAGTCATCCTTTCTCTCTAGTTTTCAGTCTTTTCATATCTGAGACTTCCTTTCATATTACCTACAAACACACCTCTCTCTCCTTCCTGAAAGGGGAAAAAAAAAAACCTCACTAGGGCCTGTCTTTCATTCAAGCTATTGGTATGCCATTTTTCTTCCCTTTTTCTGCCAGAATCCTTGAAAAAGCTCTCTGTAATCATAATATCATCAATTTTTCTTCTTTTCTAATCTTTCTACAACCTGGCTTCCCATCTTATTACTTTATAGCCCCTCATTGAAAATTCCCTTTCCAAAGTCACCAGTGATGTCTTAATCATCTAATGGACTTTTCTCAATCCTAACCTTTCCTGACTTCTCTCCTGCATTTGATACTATTAACTGCCTGTGTCCTCTCTCCTCTATGTGTCTTCATGACCATGCCTTGTCTTGGTTCTCCTACCTGTCTGAGTGTTCCTTTGCTAAATCTTCCATATCATGAAATCCGTATCATGCCCCTTACTGTGAGTGTAACCCTGGCTCTGTGTTGGCTCTTCTTTGCTCTCTCTATTCCTTTTCTTGGCACCTGGGTTTTCTTAATATCTCTACATTGTTGACTCCCTTATCTAAAGTTCCAGCTCTCGTCTTTTTCCTGAGCTCCAGTCCAGCAGCACAAACTGCCTCTTGAACGTTTCCAACTCAATGCCCTGTAGATGTCTTGAACTCAGGGTGCCCAAACACAACTTATTATCTTTCTCCCTAAACCCACCCATTGATGGCACCACTATTTTTTTTTTCAGTCACCCAGGTTCACAACCTCAGTGCAATCCTTGACTTCTCATTTTCATTCACCCAATAGATCCACTCACTTGCTGATTCTTGCCTGTTCTATCTCCACATAATCTCTCCATGAAACTCTGTCTCTCTCTGTTCCCACAGCCATCACTTTAGGTTAGGCCCTCATCACCTCTCACCCAGATTATTGCAACAGGCTACCTAATTGGTCTCCCTGCCTCAGGTTATTCCCACCTCCAATCCACCCTTCATAGCTGCCAAACTAATTTCCCCAAAGTTTAGGACTTAGTCTCAATTCTCTACTCAGTAAACTCTAACGGCTGCCTATTACATTAGTGCAAACAAGGACTCCTATGAATAGATGTATTTGAATTTGTGCTTATGCTTATGTAAAATATGGTCATTGGCTCCAACCCAGTGGAAAGAAATGTAGTGTGAATTTGAATAATGCTTCACGAGTTTTGTTATTCACACTAATCGCAACCTGGCTATCTCCAGAGTCAAACATAAGCTGTTCGGTTTGTTCCTTAAAGTCCTTCACACCTTGGCCCCAACCTACCTTTCCGTCCTTATTGCCTATTAGTTTCCTCTGTGCTCACTGCAGTTCAGCCAGACTGGCCTGGAGGCACAGCCCTTCATTTCCCACATCTGTGCCTTTGTACTAATCTAAGAATCTAACTCCCACCTCACTTCTATCTCTCAGGATCCCTTCAAGTCTCAGTTCTTAAGTGCCATCTTCTACCTGAAGGCTTTCCTTTGTACATAATTATAAATATCCAATGTACTCTTCCCCAGCTAAGCTGTAATGTACTTAAGGGCAGAGACTATTTTCACTTTTGTCTTTGTATCCCCAGCACCTGGCACCTAGTAGATGCTTAATAAATGCTTGTTGATTGATTATTCTAATGGTTACATATATTACCTAAGAAAACAGTAGCTCATGGTAAAAGAAGGTTCCTTGATGGCATTAGGGTGACAGGGGAAACCAGCCAAAGAATAAAACATTTTCAATAGATTTTGAAATTGACCATAACTCTTTAGAGGGAAGCTTGGAGGGGAGAGGGAGAATGTTTGTAGAGTGGTAGAGTCCCCAAATAACTGTGATATAAAAGTAAGAGGCACCAGTAAGGCTTATTAAATAACTATAAATACATCCGTAACTACCCCTTGTATCACAGGAATAGTTTTTCTTTGAATAATGTAGCAGCTTAATGAAGAATACTGAGTTCGACCAGATTCTACACATTGGAAAACATGAGTTGTATGTCAAATTTAGTAGCAGCTTTTTCAGCAGGAAACTAACAATTTCACTTTTTAAAAAAATTTTTCAGAGTGCTTATGCCATTCCAAGTATGGCATTTTCATTTCTCTGCCATACTTCAATATTGCCTGTATACTGTGAGCTTCGAAGGTAACGTATACGAATCTTAGATTATCTTAAGGGAAATAAAAAGGTCTTTGACATTATGAGGCTTTTCTGAGTCAATTCCATCCTTTCCTCATGGTTCCCTGTGTTAGATTCTGGTGGGTTTCCTGGACAACCGTACAAAAAACTCAGTGGAGTCCTCATGGAAAATGTCACATGATAAAAAAAGTACTGTCATATTATGTCTTTCTGTTGTAATTGCTGGTATAAGTTGCTGATGGACTCAGCTTTGTATAGCTGAGGAGCACCATGACCTAGAGGGTGCAGACTCTTTGATCTCTTGTCCAGATCTTGTCCAGCTTGTGGTTCTCGTCTTGTCCGGTTTTGTGGTTCTATTTTGGTTCTATTTTTGTCTTTTAGACCTTCTAAGAGCCGAATGCAGAATGTAACCAACACAGGCATTGCTTTAAGTTTTCTCATTTATTTTATATCAGCATTGTTTGGGTACCTCACTTTTTATGGTAAGTATTTACTTGTACATAAGTAAGAGATAAATGCAACTTATTTTTCTTGCATTATTAGTGAGCTTTATTGTATATTTGGAGTTCAGGTCCATCCCTTGTTAATATATTTAACTTTTTCAGAAAGCCACTTGGATAAAATTGAGTCATCCTAAGGTTATGTAAGAATTGATTTATTGCCTTTTAAAAGTGAGGAATCAGAAAACAGTGTGATTTGTCATTTCACAGGAAATTGTTGTTTAAAAACTTAGCTGCGGCTCTGTGTACACACTTCAGTGTCTTTCTGCCAGATAATGTAATAGGGAACTTCAGGTTACTGATACCTTTTAAAAAGCATAAATATAGTTGGTAAATTAATTAACTTTATATATGTTGCCAGAAAAAAAAATTCTGTCCTTCCAGGTAGATGGGAACAAGTGAAGGGGAATATCTTATTGAAAGTTCACTGAGGGGGGCAGCTAGGTTGCACAGTGGATAAGAGCACTGGCCCTGAAGTCAGGAGGACCTGAGTTCAAATCCAGTCTCACTTACTAGCTGTGTGACCCTGGGCAAGTCACTTAACCCCAACTGCCTTAAAAAAAAAAGTTCGTTGAGGACAGAGGTTGTTTTCTTGACTTTTTTTTGCCTCCTCAGTGCTTAGTAAAGTGTCTAGCATATAGTGGGTCCTTAATAAATGTTTATTCATTGATTATAGTGATAATTGTAATAATAATCATAGTTTATATTTATATAGCATATTATAGTTATAAAACACATTATATGCACTATCTCATTTCACCTTCACAAAAGCCTTATGAGATAAGTAGTGTAAAGTTATTCCCATTTTAAAGATGAGGAAGACAAAGCTGAGAGTCATTAAATGACTTGCCTATGGTCAGTGAGGTGGTAGGTTATGAAGCCAGGCCTAGAATTTTCTGGACTCTGAATCCAGTCAGTGCCTCTTTCATTGTAGTTATGTTAGGTGTAAGGGAGAAGAATTAAGGAGGAAAACTATATGTGTGTGCCCCCGGGTCCAAATGCCATTCAGTCAAGGATCCATTCTGAAGCAAATTCTTAGCTGTTCCTGGCTTATTTAAGCTTTGCCTAAACTTTGTAGGTTTTTAAAAATTCTCTCTTCACATCGTTAGTCATGAGTCTAAAAGATTTTAGTGCTTGTAAGGGACATATTTCCCCTGCAGAGATTTACCTAATTATCAAATATCTTTTCCTTCTTGGATCTTCCTAGACTTCAGTTCCTTGTCCACAATTGCAGGTTTTTCATAAGACTCAAATTTCCTCAGGTGAAGAAATAAAAACTTTAAGGAAAATTACATCCTAAAGTGTTTTTTGGGCTGCCTGGTTTTATTTTGATTTTGTACACACAAACTAATTCCTTCCCTAAAGGCAGAGTCATGATGGAGATGGTGATATGCAGTTCAGAACAGATCTCTTTTGGCATTTAATCACAGTGCAAGAAAGAACCTTCATATCACCTTTCTGCCAAGATGACTACAGATGGCAATCTCATGTAATACAGCGTGTACTTGAAGCAAAGAGCTTGTTAAGAATTTTGGTCCGAAGTTAAAGCCTTCCAAAGGTCAAAAGTCAAGTATTGAGTCCCACTTTATAAACTCTTTACCCTGTCTGGCAACCTACCATGATTATGACACTGTCTTAACTAAGGTCATATATACTTTGCAAAGGTTACCTTATAATATTTGTAGAGATTTGTCTGGATCCATACAAGCTTATTTTACCATATTGGTTACATGTGTTCTGGCTCAACTAAGAACACAGAGCTAACCAACCAGCCCTGACAGCAAATCTGGACCCTGAGAGGATGGAAAGTAGACTTGGAACACTTTGAGTTTAAATTAGAATTGATTCCTCAGACTTCTGACTTATCTCAGTATATGTGAGGCAGTGTCTTCTATCCAGGCATTCAAAAGCTGATTTTATATCTGATCCAAATTTGGTTACAGGAAAAGCCTTCACCTATTAGCCCTAGGTTAATAATCTTGGTTTTTATCATAGAATATGTAATGAGAGCTTGGCATTACCTGGTAAGAAGGAGAAATCATGTTCCTTTGATAAACAAAACTACTGCCTTAAATGTGCACAATAATTATTCTTTTTAAAACCCCATGAGGTTGATTAGCAACAGGTGTTAATAGCTACACTGTACTTCATAAAATGGAAACAGGTTAGTCCTTCATATCTTCCTATTGAAGAAGTAATAATCCCACTATATTCTGCCCTGATCTGATCTCATCTGTTTGGTTCTGGCCACCACATTTGATAAAGAACATTGATAATCTGGAGAATATCTAAAGGAGAACTGCGTGATGAAAGGCCTCAAGATCATATTATGATCTTAGATTGTGAAAGAATAGAGGCTGTTTACAGGAGTAGAAAGGCTTGCAAAGACATGATATCCATATACAAGCATTTGATTAGACTTATTCTACTTGCTCCAGAGAGTAGAATTGGCAAAATCAGACTTGTTTTAAGGAAAAACTTTGTAACATCTAGAGAGCTATCCAGAAGTGGAAGGAGCTACCATCAGAAGTCATCATCTTACAATCTGAAGAGACTTCAAAGGTCATCTAATCTAACTCATTTTTTCAACAAGATTCTCTTCTACAACAAATGTGACAACTGTGTCTTCCCATTTTTGCTTGGAGACCTCAGTAAGGGAAAACCCACTACCTCCTGAAGCAGCCTGTTCCGGTTGTGGATGGGTGGAGTGAGTTGGAGTCAGGTCAGATCAAATTAAGTAAACAAGCATTTATTAAGCATTAAGTTCTGTGCTAAGTCAGATTAATGGCCTTTGAGTTCTCTTCCAACTCTGAGACTCTATAATTCACAAATATCAAGCATTTGGGAATAGAATCTAGATTTGTTGTCTTCTGCTCTCCTAAGTTTGGTTTACTAATGCTGCCTTCACAAGTCTAGAAAGCATTTTTAGACAACTAATTTCCAAATGGAATTCAATGCTATAAACATTTACTAAATGTGTGCCATGATAAAAGCACTGTAGTCCCTGTCTTCAAGGAGCTTACAAGCATGCAAAGTCGTGAAACTTCCATTTTGGCCTTGATAAATATTTATGCTTTCCCTCACAAGTATCCTTTTCCATTCAAAATGCCAGCATCCTGGTTTAGGCCATCATTACTTCTCACCTAGACAATTGTAATAGCCTCTTAACTGGTGTTCCCAATTGTACTGTCTCTCAGATCCAGTTCTTCCTAAAGGGCAGCTCTCATCATGCTCAAAAACCTTCAGTAGCTTACAGTTGCTTGCTAAAGGAAATAAATTCAATAAAAGTTTATTAAATTCCTAGTGTGTTCAGATTATTGTGCTCCATCCTTAGGGAAACACAAATTTTATATAAGATGATCTCTGCCACATAAGCCTTAGGGCACTCAAGACTATAAACAAATACCACCCTACTTTTTAAGCCTCATTTCCATTTGCTTCCTTTCATGTACTCAGAATTCCAGCCATAGTGGATTCCTCAATCTCTCTACATAACCATTCACTTTCCTGCTTGATAGTGGGACAATATTTGTAAAGTGCTTAGCACAGTGCCTGACATATAGTATACTATATAAATGTGGATTCTCTCTGCTTATTCCCTTCCAGGCTTTGTGTCTTTGTTTACATTTTCCCCTCCCCCTTGGAATTACCCTCTTCTCTTTCCCCTGCTATTCGTCTATTAAAACTTCCTTTAAGGTCCACCTTTAAATGCCACTTCCCAGGTATTTGCCACAATCTTTCTGCCCCTCCTCAACCCCATCCCTATGAGAAATAATCTTTCTTTTCTAAAAGTTCTAATTGCACTTTACTTTTTCTTCTTATTTCACATAAAGCTTTCTCCCTTTATTATCATTATTAGTATAAATGTTATCTCTTCTCCTGGATTGTAAGCTCCTTAAGAATAGGAGCTGCATGTTATTCAACCATGTATCCCCACAGGGCCAGACAGAGAGAGGGCACTCAGTTAATGTTTGTTGAATATACCTTTTACCTTTCCTAGTTTTCTCCAACAAGAGTGGACTATAGTTCCAACTTGAGTCAAAGTTGATCTTTTCCTACAGTCTATATGTACTATTTTCTTAAACACCTTCCCTTTTTAGATCTCTTCATTGGAAAATAGCCACATGTACTATAGAGAATTTGTCTTCCCCTCCTGGTGACTCCCTTATGTCACTAGATAATTAATTTTCCACTTGCCCCATTTTCTGCTTTGGGTATCAATCATTACACTGCTTGATGCCATTTGAGCTAACAGGTGAAGTAAAAATAAGCAAAGCAACATTTGAAGTGCTCTGTAACATCCTGGAAAGAAAAATTCTTTATTCTTATTCCTTTTCTTAACTTTAGAGGTTGTATATGTGCTTGTTTAGGTTTGGGTGACCCACACATGAAGGGGGGAAAAGATATTTGCCTGTTCCCCAAGGTAAAAATAAACCCCTATTTTGAGTTACTTGAGAAGGTCTTGCAAACACTAGTTTATGGAAAAGAAACTATTGTCTCGTTCTTGACATCTTAGCCATTTGTAACAGGACCTTATTTTGTTATTTGCAGAAAAAGTGGAGTCCGAAATACTGCAAGGTTATAGCAAATACTTGCCAGGTGATGCTGTTGTCATGGCTGTGAAGTTATGCATACTGTTTGCTGTGCTCTTGACAGTCCCTCTAATCCACTTCCCTGTAAGTACTGTTAAAGGTCTTGTTGCCTGTTGTACTCGTTTCCCTAATATGGCGACGCTAATTCTTTGCAGACTAGAACATTTGAGTCAAATCTAGTCTTGTGTGTCTTATTCATTTGTCAAGTGATTGATCAAAGACCTCAAACTGCATATGGCTTCATGAAAGGACAAAAATAACAGTGAACCACTAAGCTAATTTGTGCTTTTTTAGATTAAGTTTAGAGTTAAGCTATCCCACAGCATTGTTTCCAATTTGGAGAATGTAGTACTTCTAAAGTTTTGGGGGAAGGTTGAGTTTTTTTTTTTCTCCAATTCTGTATTGTGTTTTCAAAAGAATATATACAAAAAGATGAAAATTCAAGTCAGCAAAAGTAAGTACTTACTGATTTATTGTCACTTCGTTTTCACAGAGAAAGTTTAGTTTCATCTTAGCCAAAATAAAGCATTGACTTTGCAGTTGTTAAGATTTGAGGGGGAAAAAAAAAGAAAGAAAAGATTTGAGGGCAGAATGAATGAGTAAATGGATGAATAAAAAAATAAAGTATTATTGTACATGAGAATTCCGATAATTACTATGTCTCTAGGGAAAAAGTATTCAAATATTGTTATAGGTGTCTCATCTGTCCATTTAGATTGTAAATTCCTCAAGGGCTTTTGTCTTCTTATTGATTTGCTTCTCACACAGTGTTTGGTATAGTTAGTGAGTCCATTTGAAAGAACAAAGGCTGCTACAGCTAGAATAATGAGTTGTCGTAAGCAATATAAAATATGTCCTTTATTGAAATTCTTTTATGTTTTAGAACCTTTATTCTTCTGGCCATCGACTTTAAGGACTAATTGATAGCCATTATTGCATGTTATTCAGAGTTTTTTCAGTTGTATCTGACTCTCTGACTCTTTTTTGAGATTTTCTTGGCAAAGATACTGGAGGGGTTTGCCATTTCTTTCCCTAGCTCATTTTACAGATGAGGAAACTGAGGCAAACAGGGTTAAGTGACTTGGCCAGGTGTCTAAGGCCAGATTTGAACTCAGGCAGATGTTTTTTTTTTTAATTCCAGGCCCACTGTACCACCTAGCTGTCCCCCATTATTACCTAGTAGTCTCAGTAATTTTTTTTACCTCAGCTAGACTGGTCCTCAGATACTTAGGCATGCCTTCGATCTCTGGACTCAAACTTGTGGCTTTCCTAGCCTAGGACCTCTAATAGCTATGCTTTGCATGGCACTCAGAAATACAAATCATGTCTTTTAGGATGAAATAGCATAGCATGACTTCCACGTCAGACAGATTAGTGGTGGTAATCAAACAAATTAAGGAAAATATGTGTGTGAAAGTTTTCACATTTTTCATAATTTTTTACCCAGTAAGGTGCAATGTAAATTCAGTGCAACAAATATTTATTTAGTATTTACCACATATAGTACACTGTTTGCTAAGCCCAGGGCAGGGACATAGAGAGATAAGTAAAATAGAGTTCCTGCTCACTGAGAGCTTACCACCTAGTAGGAGAGATGATAAGTACACAAATTATTATTATAAATAATACAGCATGATAAATGCACTAGACCAAATGCCAGATCCTAAGAAAGGATGATAATATTTGAGAATAAAATTTAAATTTTATGAGTGTTTTTAAAAGCTTCATGATTAAAGCAGTGTGTAGAAAGAAGTTTTTAGAAAATAGACATTTTGTGAGAAGACTATAAGGTCGGATTTATGTCTAAACAAGTATTTCCCTAATGATACCTTCTCTTCTTAAACTAGTTTCGTTTTCCTTTGTACAGGCAAGGAAAGCAATAATCATGGCATTTTTTCCTAATCGCCTATTCTCGTGGCTTCATCATTTTTTGGTCACTTTAGCACTCAATATTGTCGTTGTTTTACTTGCACTGTATGTTCCTGACATTAGAAATATATTTGGCATAGTTGGTAAGTTATCTGTTCCAAAGTTCTACGTAATAAATTGGCTGTCTTAGTTTCAGGTTCTGATCCTAATGACATCATTTTGTTTGTTTGTTTTCTCCCTTAAAGGTGCCAGTACATCAACATGTTTGATTTTTGTGTTCCCAGGATTATTTTATCTTAAACTCAGTAGAGAGGATTTTATATCACAGAAGAAACTTGGGGTATGTTTTTTAAGTGTATATTTCTTTCATGACCACTGTTTTAAGAACAGTGTTGGTCATTTTATATTATGCATTTTCAAAAGAGGCTATTTATCAATCAAAAAGCATTTATTAAGTATCTAATATATGCCGGGCACTATGTTTATGTACAGGGGTTGCAAATTTAAAAATGAAATGTTACCTGCCATCCAAGAGATTATATTCTATTTGAGGGAATCAACGTGGACATATATGTGTAACTGATAAATAAATACAAAATAATTGAGGTAGAAGGGAGGCACTAGCTGATGGGAGGATCAAATAAGACTTCATGTAGAAAATAGTACTTGAGCTGAACTTTCAAGAAAGCTGAGGATTCCCAGGAGAGGAGGGACTTCACTTAAGGTATGGTGACAGCCTCTAGAAGGACCCAGAGATGGGAAAGAGTGACATGTGTGAGTAACAGCAAAAATGGATAATAAAGCAGGAAAAGTAGACTAGGGCAAAATTGTAGAGATTTGAGTGCCAGAGAAGTTGGAATTTGATTCTAGAGGTGATAAAGGACTTCTGGGTCACGTGAGCAAGATGGCAGACTAGACATTTTCTCCAATCCCTACAACCTCTGACCTTTCCAAAACAGAAATTATGTGTCAAAGATAAAGCAACTTCAGCTATGTCCATAGCCTGTGACATCCATAATACAAAAGAAACTTGAAAAAAAAAACAGCCCAAAACCCAGGAACTGACACCGACCTTGAGCACCCTCCTTCCACACTACTGGCATTGAGGTCACACTAGCAGACCCAGCAACACAACACAGACTTGTGTCAAAATTCACCCTCTTCCTTGCTCCCCCTTCCTTTTTCCATGTTGTAGAGGTCCTGACTCCAGGCTGCAGAAGTTTGCTCTTTCCTCAGTAGCCAGCTTGGTCACTGCCTGCCAGGAGCTGCAACCCAGCAGCACCTACACTGCAAAGCTCTGAATTGCCAGTGCCAAGGAGAGCAGGCTCTGAATTATCATTGCCAAGGGAAGCAGCTTCTGAACTGACAGGGCCATGCTAGAGAACTAAGGGACAGCAGGAACAGGACATGTCACCTAGATAGGACACTCTACATGTGAGGAGCTATGCAGCTCAAGCCTGAGGAAAAGAGCATGGTTCAGCTGGGGCCAGTTCTGACCACTGTAAAGTAAATTGGGGCAGAGACCTACGTTGGTGAACTGTGAATTGCCCAGTGTGGGAGGAGGCTGAGACTCTTTGAGATCCAGCTCCCAAGGAAGCTATAATCAGAGGGGACAGAGTCAGGAAGAAAGTAATAAGGAAAATAACATTGGGAGGAGGGGTGGCATGGAGAAGAGATTGAAAGTACCAAAGATTTCAGGAAGAAGAAATATCAAAGACCTAGAACACAAGCAGATAAATTAATAGGAAAAACAGTAACAGAAGGAAATATGGCTTCCAGTTCTAGTAAATGAGTTCAGGAATCTATGAATGAATACTGAAAAATGAAGGAAAATGATTCAACACTTGATGAGACAGAGGGCCCTTTGGAATTTGAGGAGAACATGGAATCATAACATGCTGTTACTAAGAGGTTTAAAAACAAATTAGAATTATGAGAGCAGAATTTACATCCTACACAGCAAAAATAATCGATGGAATAGAAGAACTTTAATCTGGAATGGCAAGCCTCACCAAAGAAATAAAAGAGAGAGAACAGATTGGGAATCAAATACATAGAAGTGAAGGGCACCCTAGAAGAAGAGAAGCAAAAACCAAAACATTGAAAGAAAATATGCTCACTATTCAAGCAAAACATTCTGATTTTGAAGTTAGAATGGGCAGAGACAACCTAAGGATCATAGGTCTCCCAGAATAACTTTATAGGACAAAAAAACCCCCTAATATCATAATGAAATAAATAATAGTAGAGAACTACCCAGAATCTCTGAAAGTAGAAAATGAAATCCCAATTGAAAGAATTCACAGATCACCTCCAGGAAAAAACCCAAGGCTGCAAACTCCAAGTCCTATAATGGTTAAATTTAATAATTCAGCTGAGAAACAAGTTCAGCCAGCCATCAAGAGAAAAACCTTCAAATACAGAGGAAAGGATATTTGAATAACACAAGACTATTCTGCATCCACTAATAAAAGAAGGAGGGAATGGAATATTGTGTTCCAAAGAGCATTGGCACTCAGAATGCAATGCATGATGACCTATCCTGTAAATCTAACCTTAACCATAGGACAAAAGATGGATGCCCAACAAAAAAGAGTTTGAAACATTTTCAGAAAGAAAATCAGAATTGAAGATACTATTTGCTTCTTAAACACCCCAAACAAGAAAATTGCAAGAGAAGGGAATAAATGCAGAACCAGTAAGAAATTTCTTTTTAAAGATATACAGGGAGACAGGGATGAAGGTGGAAAACTGATAGAGGCCATTAGCAATGAAGAGACAGACAGGAAGCATTATGGACAGAACCTGAGGACAACCTGTGTACAGGTGAATGCTTTTGTGGAACTACTTTACAACATGGAAAGATATATGAAAGAGGGGGAAGGGAGGAGGAGAATAGAGAGAACGAGTGGTATACTGGGGTTAAATCAAAGGCTAGCAATGAGGGGGAAAGTGACTTCTGATCTCGGAAAAAGAAGATACTACAAAAGAGTAGGGGAGGAAGAGGGGGGAAACATTGAAAAAGGATAGAAAAGGAGGCATTTGGAGGTGGGAGGGGGTTCCACTGATGAATGCTGCTATGAGTGAAGAGAGATGAAGACCTTGCACTAGATGATGTCTGGAGTATTTGGTGTCTGAAAAGTCTACTTGTCCTGGAAGAAGGGGAGGTAGAACCCCTGGGGGCAACTGGCACCTGGAGGAATAGAAGAGCATAGGCATGGGGAGGAAACTTCCAGGCAAGTGCAGTGGGGAGAAGGTCAGGGCGCTACCTTGGGGCAGTGTCCTCCCTGAAACCTGCAATGATTGGTATTGTTCTGAGAGTGAGGCACAATGGAAAAGGGGAATCCATGGGATAATCAAGCCTGACAGAAAGCACCTAGAGAGCAGAGCCTAGACTGGGTACCTTAGAAGCTTTGACCATATAAAGAATACAGAAGCAAGAAACCATGAATCAGAACGTGTGAGTCTAGAGTAATCAGAAAGAGAACATGGATAATGAAGAGAATAAGAGAAACCCTTTTTAGAAAGGGGCACAAAAATGAAATTAAATAACTAATAAATAAGACTACCAGAAAGGGAGAACAGGAAAGGGCAGTATGTATGATTGAGCAGAAAAAAAGGAGAAGAAATATATAACCAGATAAAAGTAGGAAAGAGGAAGAATAAAACCCTAAAGGGAAAGAGTAACAAATGAGAAAAGGGGGTAGAGGAGGAGAAAAGAGCCAGTGGGAACAAGACTACTTTTAAAAAAATAACTTAAGGAACATAATGCTGTGTTTAGAGCAGAAGAAAAGGAAAATCATTTAAAAAAAACTTTAGAGACAAAATATAAAATATAAACTTAACTCTTAGAACTTTAAATGTGGGGGGCATCTAGGTAGCACAGTGGATAGAGCATCAGCCCTGGAGTCAGGAGTACCTGAGTTCAAATCCAGCCTCAGAAACATAACACTTACTAGCTGTGTGACTCTGGGCAAGTCACTTAACCCCATTGCCTCACCAAAAAAACTTTAAATGTGAATGGATTAAGCAATCCAGTAAAACAAAAAAGAGTGACAAGTCGGATAACAAAACCAAAATATCCAAAACCACATGATCATTTCATTAGATGCAGAAAAAGTCTCTGAGAAAGTACCACACTTTTATGCTAAAGACACTACAAAATATAGGCATAGAGACCTTTTTTAAAAGGAAGCTATCATGAAAAGCACTTGTCTAAAACAAAAGCAAGCATCCTATGCAGTATGAATACACTGGAACCTTTTCCAGTAAATACAGGCATGAAGCGAGGATACTCTCCCCACTACTGTTTGATGAGAGTTCTAGAAACAATGACAGGAGAAAGGAATTAAAGAAATAAAGATAGTAAAGAGGAGGTAAAACTATCTCTGTTTGCTGATGTTATGACAGTTTACTTGGAAAACCCCAGGGAATCAATCAAGTTACTGAGAATAGTTTCAGCAAAGTCACAGGCTACAAAATAAATCCTTAAAAATGAATAACATTTCTATGGGATAATAACGAAACAAGAAGCAATAACATAAAGGGAAATCCAATTCCAAATAACGTCAAAATACATAAAATAGGAGATCAACCTCCCAAAACACAGAAAAGACTTGTAGAGATTCAAGTACAAAGTGCTCTTTAAATTACCTTCCTATTTAATTGGAGGCATATTCAGTGCTCATGTCTAGTGCCAATATACTAAAATTGACAATACTACCATGATTAATTTGTGTTTTTAATGCTACAGCAGGCCTGCACAACATACGGCGTGCGAGCCACGTGCAGCCTGCCTAAGTATTTTAGGCGTAGTTGCCACTGCACTCTCCTGTGTGTCACGTGGCTCTTGGCAACCAGCCATCATCAGTCTGTCTCTAGCCTAACCTATCTTCAGCCCTAATAAGTTTATAAGTTGTGCAGGTCTGTGCTACACCAGTCAACCAAGGCCCTTTACAGAGCTTGATAAAATAATAATAAAATTCATTTGGAAAAACAAACCATCTAGAATATCAAGGGAAATTAGTAAAAGAAGTAAAGATGAAGCACGTCTAGACCTCAAACTATATTATAAAACAGCAGTCATCAAAACTCTGTGGTACTGATTAAAGAAGAAATAGATCAGTGGAACAGACTGGACAAGGGAGATTGAGAAATAATAGAACTTAATAACCCCGTGTGTGATAAAATGGAAAACATAAGTTAATTGTTCATCAGTTGTTTCAGTCTTGTCCATCTCGACCCCATTTGGGGTTTTCTTGGCAAGATACTGGAGCGGTTTACCATTTTCTTACCCAGCTCATTTTACAGATGAGGACCCTGAAGCAAACAACATTAAGTGACTTGCCCAGGGTCACACTGCTGGTATCTGAGGCCAGATCTGAACTCGGGAAAATGAGTTGTCCGGGCTTCAGGCCTGGAACTCTATCCGCTGTGCTACCTAGCTACCTAAAAACACAAGTTACCTATTTGACAAAGACTTCTGGGTTAACTGGAAAGCAGTCTGGCAAGAAATTAGGCTTGGACTAATACCTTACACAACATACCATAATATGCTTCTAAATGGATTTATGACCTTGACATAAAAGATCGTACGGTTAAAAATTTAGAAGCGAACAGAACATATACATCTCATAGCTCTGGATAAGAGATGCGTTCTTAACCGAACAAGAGTTAGAGGTAATTACAAAAGATAAAATATATTTCTTTGATTACTTGAGACTGCAAAGCTTCTGCGCAGACATTAATGCATCTAGGATAAGAAGGGAAATGTTTGCATGGGGGAAAAATCCTTGTATCATTTTTCTGATAAGAGTTTTGTATCCAACATATGTAAATAATTAATAAATATAGACAAATATAGTCATTCTGCAATAGATAAATGGTCAAAGAATATGAACAAATAGTTCTCAAAAGAACTACAGAGTGTGCACAAACACATGAAAAATGCCCCAAATCACTAATAATAGGAGAAATATAAATCAAGACAACTCCAAGGTTCCAGCTCACACCCCGTAAACGGGCAAACCTAACAAAGAATGGCAGTAGTCAGTGTCAGAGGAGCGGTGGGAAGGCGGGCACACTAATGCATTGTTGGCGAATCTGCGGAGTGGCACAACCATTTTGTAAAACAGTTTGGAACTGTGTAAATAAAGTGGCTAAAATGTCTGTACTCTTTGACTCTTTTACTGGGCTTATAATCCCAAGGAAGACACTGATAAGAAAAAATCCTCACATATTCCAAAATATTGACAACAGCAGAATGTCACAATGAAATTATCTAATACCGTGGCTCTTCAGTCGTCAGTATACCTAGCTAGTGGGAGAAACCACAACAGAAGTGAAGCCTGTAGTTTATAAAGTCTCTGCCTTTTCACCAAAAAAGATGAAATATTCTACTTTAAAATGTTCTTAAAATGCACCTGAGGTGCCCCTTGAAATCCGAGTAAAGAAAGGTTTGGCTTTTTTTTTCTTTTCTTAAATCACATACTTAGTACTCTTTCAGAAATAGAACTTTCCTTGTACAAGGTAGCCTAACTGTTTCTTTTTGTTTTTCCTTTCTACAGGCTTCTGTATTGTTTCTCTTTGGAATTCTTGTTGGGACTTTGAGTTTTGCACTAATAATTTTTGAATGGATTAATAAATAAAAGAATAATTATCTTTAACTCCTACAAAACAATTTATTAGTGGGTTTCCAGGAAGATGTGTGTGTATCGTCACAGAGCTCAGTTGATGATGGATTGTAGAAGACATATTATTGCCTTTGTTGTCGTCATCCAGTCGTTCAGATGTCCAGCTTTTCTTGGCAAAAATACTGGAGTGATTTGCCATTTTCTTCTCCAGTGTGCCCCCATTTTACAGATGACGAACTGAGGCAGATAGAGGTTAAGTGACTTGCCCAGGATGACACAGGCAATAAGTACCTGAGGCCAGATTTGAACTCAGGTCTTCCTGACTCCAGGCCTGGTGCTCTGTCCACTGTACCACCTAGCTGCCTCTGTTATTGCAATACCACTTTCAGTTTTTCAGCCAGTCTTGGAAGAGTGAGTTTTTTGTACAGGTGAACTTTCTTACTCTTGGAATTCATGACTTTTGAAGTGATTTAATAGGGATGACCTAGAATAAATCAGTCATCTTGTAAGAAAAGAAAGCATACCTTCAGTCTTAGCAAGAATTTAGTAAAATAATAACAGCTTGACATTTTTATAGTGTTCTAAAGTTTACAGACTACTTTACATCCATTATCTCATTGGATCCACACAACATCCCTGTGAAATAGAGACCGCACTTTACCAATGTGGAAACTGAGGTTCCATAGGGTAAAATGATTTGCCAAAAATCAAACAGCTGGTAAATTGAAAAAACACAATTTGAACCTAGATTGTCTGATTACAAATCCAGTGCCCTTTTTACATTTCATCATGCTGCTTCTGCACAATCCAATGAGATTGCAATATATTTGAATTCAAGAACTGAATTCAAGTCTGCTGTTTCTTGTGTCTTCCACAGTGCTTAGCACAGTCCTAGATGCAGTACTCTGGAAATGCTTGCTAATTGATCAGTTATAAGAGGGTAGAATCAAAATTAGTATACAAGCTAATAATATTTGTCTTATTAAATAGACTATGAGGCTTACTGCATTTGGATCATGGAAAATAACCAACATTATTTCTTGTTACATTGTACTATAGTAATACTCGTTGAGACTAGTCAGTATTTCCATTACAAATACTTGCTTTCTAAAACCTCAATTTGGTTTGAACTGCCTTTCAGGGTATTTATGTTCTGACTCCATAATCCATTTTGTGTTTACACCCCTATTAGAGAAAATAAAACTTTCTAGTTATGTTCCTAAAGCCCACAGTGGGGAACTTTAATCTGTTTGGATCTAATTATGTGCTGCTGTTCGATTCAAAAATCCCATTAAAGCCATTACGTGTTTATGCCTTCTATAAATCCAGACTTAGGCCTGTTGTGACAGCTGATAAAATTGCTCCCCAAACTCATCAGTAAGCCAAGAGAAGTGAATGCATCATTAGCAACAAAGAACTTGTTTCACCATTCCCATAGTTATTCATTCCTCTTCCATTTTAAGTTGAAAATGTGTACCCAAATGAGATCCACCCACATTAAACTTACTTGTTTTCCTAGTTTCTCCTTTACTAGTTTTCGTTTTTAATAACTTGGATTGAGTAGTCATTATTTAGGAGGCATGAGTGTTTAGTTAATGTAAGAGGAAAGCTGTTTCTTTATGGCTTTTGGTGAAAGAATGGTTGGAAATCATAAGTCATGTGATCCTAGCACTGGAAAGCACCTTAGAATCAAAGTTTTGGAACCAGAAAACACTTTAGATATTACCCAATCCAACCTTTCATTGATGTAGCTAAAATAATTGATGAAACAACCTAAGGTATTAAAAGATTAATTATCCTCTGTAGTAGGATTCTTTTCACTGCACCACAGCCTTTGCTTCTAGTTCAACAATGTTGGATTGATGAAAGACTTTAGGGGGTGTGGTGAGGAACTACCATAGACAGCACACTCACACCTTAAATAGCTATATCAGTATTATCTTCATCACATTCTTAATATTTTATTGTAAGATATTTCAGGACCTCAAGCACTGAAGTGATGCTATGTTATGGTGCAGTTTCCCTGGGCAGAAAATTCATGGGAATGAGTCACAAGCATGGCAACCACAGACAAGAATGTGGATACAGAACCACCACTAGAAATGAAGAAACTGGCAAATTTCTGGGAGACAAAAGAAAACAAAAGCAATACCCAGCCAGCCATAACAAAATCATTAATCTTTGGTACTTTAAACCCTATGCATCTTAAAACCTTTGTGTCTTCACTGGAATCTCAGGATGAAGCGATCCTTTTCTTTAGCAAAGATAACCCCTCTCTTCACCTATGTGACCTTGATCACATCCTGTTCTGTCACTTCTGTGACCCTGCTCCATAACTCATTTCTTTAGCACTACAGCAAGATGACTGAATGAAAGGCTGCCAATACACCCAATTTTTCCCTTCCAAAAACAACAGCTAAGAGGTAAGGGAGCCCCCAAAGAAACTAACAGTAGAGACTGAGGAAATGAGCAAGCTAAGAAGAATTTTGCGATGAAGAAATGCTATGGGTTAAAGTAATCCTGGGATAAAATTCCAGAAGAGGAGAGTAATTCTGCCTTAAGTGTATGTAGAAACCCATAAAAGAGAATAGGATGAACAAGAACCCCCAGAGAAGTTAGAAAACCTAATAAAAGAATTGAAGGAAAATTTATACATAAGGAAGAAACTAAGAGTTTTTGAGGATTTCAATATTTATGCCAATGCTTCTTCAAGCTCTCTAACCTCTCAACTCCTCAGTATCCTTAAATCACATGACCTCTCACTCCACCTACTGCATACCGAGGAAAAGTCACACCCTGGACCTCACAATTACCAACCAGTGTTACCCTCCTTAATCAAAAACTGACATTCCTCTGTCAGCCTTAACCTGTCATTCCATTTATATCTCATCACTCCCAAACCTATTATTCTTCTTCAAATTCCAGTTACTCTACCCCACGTTACTCCTATGCTGACTTTTTTCCTTTTCCATTCTCAACCAACTCACCTTTACACTGCTCTCTACTCACAGATCATCCACCTGCCTACCTTGTCCTCTCACCATTCATCTTTTGTGAATCTCAATCCTGGTTTATTCCTATTATCTGCCGCCCAAATTTTTACATGCTGCTGAATGGAGCTGGGAGGTGTCACAACTGTTAACTAGGCGTACCATAAATTCAATTATCTAACTTCAACCAGATTCACAGCAACAAGGCAATCCTTTTTTTTCTCTCTCCAAAGCTATTTCAAACTTTAAAAAAAAATTCTATTTTCAGTTCCAAATTCTCTTCTTCCCTCCACTTCCCTACCCATTGAGAAAGCAAGAAATATAATGCCCATTATACATATGATGACATGCAAAACATTTCCAGATTAGTCATGCTGCAGGGGGGGAAAGCAAGAAAAATTAAGAGGAAAAAAACACCCCAATCTTCACTTAGTCCATTAGTTCTCCATTTGGATCAGAATAGTATTTTTCATCACAAGTCTTTTGGAAATGTCATGTCAATTATATTGATCAGAGTTGCTAATCTTTCACAGTTGATTATTATTATAATATTGCTGTTATTGTGTACCTTGTTTTTCTGATTCTGCTCAGTTCACTTTGTATCAGTTCATATGTCTTCCCAGGTTTTTCTGAAACCATCCTCTCTGTCTCAAATTTCCTTCCCCTACACTCCACACCTCTTTCCTCTTTTAGCTGAGGACTTTGCCTTTTACATTAATGCAGAAGTTGGGGCCATTTAAAACGTAATTCATCTTTCCCCTTATTTTTATTTTCCTCAAAACCACTAGACACCAACCCCCAATCTCTCAAAGTCTCTTGAAAATGATATGGCCTTTACCTCTCCAAGGACTGGCCTTGGAGAGGGTACATGGGTGCATGTACCCTTGTTCCCATTCTCTCCTGTCTTTTCCAGCAGATTTCATCTTCAATGATCCCCTATCTCTAATCTTCAACCTCTCTTATTTCCTGCTTCTGTTTCCCCAGTCTTTAAAAAGAATCTTCACTAGACTATGATTCCCACAAACTTGTGCTACATACATCTTCCTTTTTTCAGCCAAAGTCCTAGAATAAGCTGTCTACATTTGTAGCCTTCACTTCTTCCACTCCTCGATTTCAGTCTGCCTTCTGACCCTATCACTCTACTGAACCTTCTCCCTCTATATATGTATACACACACACACACACACACACACACACACACACACACATTATGCCATAACTTGCTCACTCAGTTCCCAATTTGTGTCCAATTTTATGCTACAAGAAAAAGAATTGCTATAAATATTTTTGTGTGTATGAGTCCTCTTCTATCTTTGATCTTTTCAGTATGTAAGCCTAATAGTTGTCTTACTGCCTATGCACAGTTTAGTAACTTTTAGAGTATAATTCCAAGTTGGTTTCCAGAATGCTGGACCAATGCAGAACTTTTCTAATAGTGCATTAGTGTGCCTTATTTTCCTGTAACTTCTTCTACATCTATCATTTTCCTCTTTGCCATTCTGTTGGCTATGGAGTGGCATCTCAGAGTTTGTCTCCTCATCTCTCAGCTGGCTGCACTACTTTGGGACTTCACTGACTTCCATCTTGTCCCAAGAAGCTCATTACTGGGAAAATTTCATCATCCTGGAGGATCCCATCAACTTTAGGATTCTACCTTCTCTCCATCTTCTGTCCCTCTGATTGGAAGGTGGAGCCATGAACTCTAAAACTTTCCTTTAAGGAGGGAACCCAGGTCAGAACGTCTCATTTCTCACTAGATGCACTACTTCAGGACTTCTCTGACATTTCCACCATTCCCCCATCTGCTTTCCTTTCCCTTCCCTCCCATTCCTCCATTCAGCTTCCTTTTATGTGTTCTCTTCTTCCATTAGATTGAAGGCATGGACTGTCTTTTTTTCTGTCTTTCATATCTGTATCCCCAGTGCTTAGTATAGTACCTTCCACATAGAGGGCACTTAATAAATGTTTACTGACTGACTTGCTTTTCTCTAATTATTACTGATTTGGAACATTTTTTTCTTCATATGGCTATTGATAGCTTCG